ATATATTGGTATATGCCAAGCAAATCAAATTTAATTGATTTAAGATATTACTTTATTTAAGATATTACTTGAGCATATGATGTATGCCTTCTATTGCAGAGGTTATATAGTAGCTTAAGTAGCAAAACTTGTTTGTCCAAGCGATAAATAATATTTCTTTACATACATCAATTCACTTATTTTTAATATATGTAATTGCATTGAAAAAATTGATAATCCAGTTTTCCATAAAGATGCTCTATTGTGCTTTAAAATTATCCTTGGAATGCATCAATACTATTAAGTGTCAATCTTATAAAAATTATTGCCATTACTTGTTAATAAATTCTTACTTATAATTTTTTACAATATTCTTATCAATATACTAAAAGCATAGAAGATTAGTTAAAAATACAAAGATTTCTTTGATTGCATTAATTAGAATCAATTTTTAATCCATAATAAAGACGCTATGCAAAGATAATTGAATAAATAATTATTTAATCTATTTAAGCACAATTTAGTAAGATCTAAATTCTTCCAATGCCATGAAGACAAGCACCACTATAAAAGACCTATTGAAAGCAATGTATCTAACAACATGTAGGATTTGCATCCAATACTTATTGATCTTATAGATAGCATCAATCAGTAACACTCTATAATTGATGCAAGGTTGATTGAAATAGGATGAGAAAAATAATGTATGTTACTATTCAATCATATGTTATTATATGTATTATCTAGTAAAGTCATCAAACAAAGCTTTAAACAATATACATCCATTGAGTAGTATTTTAATAAACCTTTGACATGTATTATAGATTGTCTTTTGCTTAGCTATAAATCTTTTATCTTTTTGGCACATTATTGTCAAAACTTCATACAAGAAAATATTTCCAAGCAATAAACTATCAAAATATTCATTCTTAACCACTATTAGCTTTTTATGTGCCATATGTCTAAAATTAGCCAATGATAATTTATAGTTGTGTTCAAGATTGGAAACCTTGAAGTATCAACAATTGTCTTTCTTTTCCAATTAAGTAATAATTTCAAATGGATAATAAGTTTTTTGAATTATTATCTCTTAATTTTGAGAAAGCTCAAAAATGGTGCTTCTACAGCTATTGTTGTGACCACAATAATACCACATGTTACAATTTTTTTTTAAGTGTTTATTCATAATAGTATAGCTGCAATCTACTACATGGATTTTGATATCTATAAATAATTCTTTTTATGAGTTGTATATTTTTCTAAATCTAATAAGAATAGATTCATTATAAAAGAGATAGAAAGGTTATGAGTATTAAAAAAAATAATAATAAAAAAAAGACAAAATTTGAGACAAAATTTAAATTCAAATATAATGCAAATATTGTGAATTGCTTATTTTGAAGTTGTACATACCACTTAAGTAAAAATTCTACATTATCAAATATAAAAAATAACTAAAACTTAGAAACAAGTCATATAGTATGAAATCACTTCAGATAATCATTTGAAGAAAGAATTATGTATGTATATATGTGTGAATGAGAGAAATTTCTATAGCAAGAATAGAGCTCACTTGGCATATGAGCTAGTGTAGTCTTTGCATTTGTTGCACAAAAGACATGTATTGAAATTTGGCTTATTTATTATACAAAATACTTATAAAAAAACATTATCTACTATTGTATGTGAGCTTTAATTTAGATTCTACCGTAGTACTAATAAATTCTTATAAATTTAAGTTATAAATTTGTATAAATCACACCTTCACACTAATAAATTCTTATAAATTTAATTTTTAACTTATAATATTATTATTTCATTATTTCTTTGTCATTTAGATATTAATAAAATATTTATTTGTTTTATATAAATTCTCTTAGAAAATTCATGGTCTAAACTTTTAATATTTCTAAAAAATATCATAATTTAATAATTATGCCAAATCACGACTACATTTTCAATCTTTTATTATTAATCTTTAAAATTATTTTATATAGAATATTCTTAAAAATTAATAAATATATAAAAGAATGTATTACATAAGATACTTGAATACATTCAAGTTTCTATGCAAGACTATTTTATTTTGAATTACACTATTTATTGTGTTATTTGCTACATCTATTCTCATTTCAATATAACAATGTATTGTTGAAAGTTATATTATTGCACACTTTCTTCCTTCTCTTTGTAGTATATGCAATGTTGTTACTTATGTGGTTTTTTTGCATAATTGGTCCATTAGTCTTTAATTGGAAATGATATGCTTCTTTCTTTTGTACCATAAATCATTTGCAATTCACACTATATCATTGTTCTTTCAATTATTGGTTCTTCCATATTGAATTATACTTAAGTTTCTAAAATGTTTGAATTGGAGATGCAACTATTGTAAGAAAAAAAGTTAATAGAGTTGAATAAGGCATTATAAACTTTCTACAAGACTAAAAAGAGACTAGATAACTATATTATTGCAAAGAATTGGTGTATAGAGATCATGTGCAAAGACAAACACATTGTCATATGGCATAATTTTCTATTTGAAAATATACTAGATACTTAGTTGTAGAGAGTTTAGCTTTAACTTATTGGCCAAGCTCTAATAAGTGATTTATTCTTATTATAAAAGATAAATAAATGTAACAATATAAAAAGATATTCTACTAATAAAAAACTTTTATATTTAAAAATATTTATACACAAGGTTTTTTTAGAACATCTAGAAATTCCTTGACATTCTTTGCTATACCAAATCATAACTAACCATTTGCTAATAAGTTAGATTTTTAATAATTTTAAAGAAAATCCATAATCTCCTTTTAAAAATCCATCTTTATATCATAATTTTTTATAGCTCCATATCTCCATCTTCAACATATATATAATTCTTGGCTCCCAAAAATCCGTTTATTTTGCATAAAATGTCCAAATTATAGTAAAATCCTTTCAAAATATTTTTTTCCAAGGGATTTTTTTTTTTCCAGTAAACTTTAGAATTTCATATCTCTTTATCCAGTCATTCAATATTTTTAAAACTTTTAGATAATGTATCCTTTGTTCTTAAGCTTTACTACAAAAAAATGAACCATAAATCTATTGCCAATCGTCTGGCATCTTAGGACCTTGATAGGTTCTCTAAACCCTAATTTATAAGCATCTGAGTACTATTTTCTTCATATTTCACAAATTCCAAGCTCAAATTCCACAAAATTTGGTATATAGCTTTAAAACTTGGAAATACACATTTGTAGAAATATTTAGCCAAAGAATTGTCTAAATGGAAAAATTATGGCTAAAACCAAATCCCTCATGAAATTAATTTATTGACAAACCTCAATTTGGGAGCATTGTCTTCATGTAGTCGTTGCTTCTCTAAATCAATTCTAAACCTTTTTTTTTTGCATATAAAATGTAGTCTTTTAAACCAACTTTCCAACCTCACAATCCGATCCTCAAAAGCTCTTCATATGCATGTGCTATGCTCCAAAGAGTGACAGTAGCTACAAAATTGACACTTTAATTTTGAGCGCCTATTTCTCCTTCAAAAAAACTCCAAATTATACAAAATTTTCACCAAAATCATATTCTAAACTCTAAACTTAATAGCTCTAAACTTTGATGTTCAAATGGTATCAAAATAGTATCCCTAATTCTTGATAAGGCCTCAGGCAGCCTTCTTAAAGCCCATTGGACATAACCTTTGGCCAATAAGAATGGAGATTTTCATTATCCATCTCCATTCATCCATATAATTGGCCTAACTATCCTTTTTATACAAAAACCCTTCTCCAATCTTTTTTCTAATAAGTTTTGTATAATATGTATCCTAAACGCCAAATAAAAAAAATAAAACAAGATTTTAAGAGTCACCAATGTCTAATAAAGATAGCTCTAAATATATAAAAACTATTATCAATATAAAATCAACTTCAATAATAGCTCTTTTAAATTGACTACTTCAAAGTAATAATCTAATTATATTTTGTAACCAACTAAAATCTAATAACATGGCTTTCACTACATTGTATAGTAAATTATATATTAAATATATATATGCATTATTTTCACATGGTAGCCAATTAACAATACAACAACATCTCTTTAGATAATGATACCCAGCTCAAAAACTACAAGAAGTTAATAGTCAACATTGCTCTTATTTTAAAGAAGATGAAGCTTGGCCTTAGGACCTCCTCTACTATTGGAGCAGGTATGTTGTTATTAAAAAATATCCAACCTACTATTTAGTTTCTAGAAGATCTTTCATCTTTTAGTTCTTTTTATCTTCATTTTTTTTTTTTTTTTTTTTTTTTTTGAGAATTGCAAAGTTTTTCTAATTATCACCTGTGTAACATCCATGTTTTTTCAATAAATAACTTAGTTTAAATTTTTCTTACTTATAAAGTAATAGTCTGAATTTAGGTCTTTATCAAAACCAAAACTTTTCAAGCAAGTTATTCTAAAATTGTGATTAAACAAATAAAGAATTTGTAAAGAGTAAGTAAGCATACAAAGACAAGACAAAATTTACTATGCCATTGTGTAAACTAACTTTGTGCTTCACATTTGCTTCACTTTGGGGAAGATAAGAGGGATGGAGTTAAACAATGGAATTAGCACCCACTTATTCTTGGTTTGTTAAGATGTGCATATGGCAATATGTAGCAATATGAGGTGTACGTAATAGCTTAAGGCATGCTTGAACCTTTTACAAATCATTTCTATGAAATGGCTTTAAAATATCTAAATAGCTTCAATAATGGACATCATTAATGTATAGAAACAAAACTATGAACACAAACGTTCCAACCGGACTTCTTCAGCAAGTTATCTTTTCCAACAAACAGGACCAAACATGCTATATAAAGTATAAGCACATAACTACATCTTTTGGAAATTGAACTAGAATATGAAGCAACCTTACCTAGATCAAAGGGAATATCAATAGGGATTTTCACAATCCAAAAAAGTTCACGAAGGAAAAACAAAAACAAGCAAGATAGCAAAGCTTGCAAGGTAGGTGGATTGCATCGAAAAACGTCTTAGCACCTCAAAAAACCATAGTTAATTTATGTAAATACATAATGCGTGCAAATCGTCGCTTACCTTATCATAGTGATATTCACTGTACAAGATAAACGTCAACTATACACTCATTAAGGTGATGGCGTGTTAAGATCCTGAAATTGCCCTCAAAAGTTTGTAGAATCTGACAAGTTAGAAAGAGTATTACTGAAAGAAACTAAACTTTCGAACTAACATTACGTATGTATGCCATGATTATGTCGGATTAAGAATGCTCGAAGTCTACACTCTGGTAGTACAAGTGGAGAGAGACTCCAGATGACTCGTTTCTGGTGCTTGCAAGACGCAGAGAAGTTAGCTTCTATCACCTTCATCATTAGCTGGAAGGTTTACTTTTTCATTATTCACCGCTTCTTGAGCAGCTCGGATCTGTTTAACAACGTTAACTCCCCCAGGATTATGAAGTCGAGGTAGATGTGAAAAGCGGACCTGGTTCACGTCAGGAGAGGCGCTTTCCATCTGATTCGTAGGAGCAAATTCCACGTTCGCCGAATCTTTATCCATGGGCCTCGACACACCAGCTCCTCTAGGATCAAACCTGTGCTGTGGCAGTTGTGCAAAACTTGGGCTAGTGCTACTATCTCCCAGCAAGTTGACGTGATCTTTTGGCTCTGGTTCAGATTCTTCTGTTACTCTTAAGTTGTGGGATTCGGGAAGATTGCAAGATTCAGGCAAATTCGGGACTCTTGCTCCCTGATGAGAAATACCTGCTCCTCGAGGATTGCGAAGGCGTAGCGGCATATGCATGAAACGAGGTTTGCCATGATCGGCGTTTGCTTCGACTTCCTGGTTAAGCTGGGCACACATGTCGAGATGTTGTTAGATTGTAACAGTGAAACACTACGCTTGATGGCAGGGTTGCTGTAAACAACGTGCATACAAGTGAAGCAAAACATCGTGCGACAGCAAGGCCAATTCTGATAGGTGACATGAAATCATAAATAAAGTGATCACATCAAAATATCTCAAGCAAAGTTTGAGCTCGTTTGAGCGCAGCACGATTCAACTTCAAGCCAGATAGGACCAATCCAACCATATCAAGGGCTAATTGTTTACACAAGACGAAGAAACTTAAAAGCCTGTTATTATTTGAATTGGATGTGCTCCATCAATTTCCATTCTTCCACTTTTTTGGGAGATGATTGACAAAATAATAACTCACCAGCATTATCGTTAAGGCACAACAGAAAGAAATCGTATATATTTTCTTAACAATGATCTGCCAACAAGCCGTGAATACTGTTTGTTAGTTTTACCAGAACATCTATACTGAGAAAAGGACAAGTTCACTGTATTAAACACACTGAATATGTACGTATTCATTCTCCGTCAGTAACTCCTTTTACTGTTTGACCTGAATCGAATTGACGTTATCGAAATCAAGAATGTTCTATCCACAGAGATTGTTTACGTTGATGCATGTCTTAAGTCGGCATGTCTTGCAAACCTACAGAATTCTGTGATTTATTGGTTTGTATGGCCCGCGTCGACAATCGTTAGTGACCACTAACCTACTGTTCACAATTTTTTCGTTCAAAACCATCGCGGAGGAATCTAAAAATCTTGAAGCAAGCGTAATCTGAGCTAAACCAACGTAGAAAGTAAATGGCAGGCAAATTTATGTTCCTGTTCAGCCCAAATTTCGGTAGTACAAAGCTACCACTGGCCTTCACAGCAGTACTTACGAAAACGATATCAATCTCTGCTTTAAAAGGTGCGATCTGCATGCCCGACTTCATTGAACATGCTGGACGCCCATATGTTAAGACACATCAGAGCGAATGAATTTAACGCCGTACCACTCCGTAATCTTCAAGGAAATGCAACTAACAAATCCTCCTCTGGAACTGGCTTGTGTAACCAGACTGCATACAGTGACAATTTCATGCCAAAGTTGCCCCAAACCCTTAACTACCGTATGAGGAGCCCACTCCAAGCAAACATTCTCGAGAATAAGAGGCTCTCGGATGTTGTGCATAAGAAGTCAAACTATACATGTGGAGCTTTAAGGGAAATTGAACACAAGCATAAAGGCCCCTGACCTGTCCAACGCCTATCTTTGGTTTGCTTTCGTCAGACGCCATGCCTGAGGTAGACAGCTCTCCAACGGGTAAAGAGATCAAAATCTACAGAAGCAACATGAGTGCATAAGTGGAGCTTTAGTCATCCATGCCTATGCTTACCCGACCATAAATTTACTAAAGAGGTAAGGAATGGTCCTCGCAAAGACACTCCTAATAACAATCTTATCTCCTGACCTGACCAGAAGCACATGCGTCAAAAACATTTTAAAATAAATAAATAAATAAAAACCGTGCCATCCAAATCGAACAATACTTATCGTATCAAGAATACGATAATCATTGTATTATAAAAGAGTGAATCCCAAGCCAAATATTTACAAAGAATAAAATATTTCTTTTCGTGGGTAAAATATTTACAAATTTTCTAAATGTAAAAAATTTAATATTGGAATCTTTATGATTGTTGTTGTAATTTAGGTACTTTGTACTTCTACACTTAAGAGCATCTGTTATTATTTCATTAAAAATAACAACCTGAAAGAATAAAAATGTGCTTATGAAATCAAGACCATGCTACTCTATTCAAATAATGATATTATTATATTATTTAATAAAATCTATGATTATTTATTTATTTATTTTTAAAAATCATTGTCTTTGAAAAATAATTGTAAAATGTATGACATTACAAGGATAAGATTTTTAAAATGCTTTTGTATCACCTTAACATAAAAATATTTTTTATACCATCTTTATACTGGTTATTCAAAAATTTATATCAATTACACATATTTTGAAAAAAAACACATAAATAAACAAATGATTTAAGAACAAGAAATTGATATATTATTTGATTGAACCTTATGTATGGTGTGAACTTGGATAATCAATATATAAAAAATAAAAAAACGAATAAAAAAAGATCATTTTTCAAGAAAATTTATTTAAAATAAACTTCAAAGCTGTAACTTCAAAGCTGAATTTCAAAAATGTTTTTAAATCTTTAAAACTATATATAATAATACACAATGATAAAAGGTTATAAACGAATTAGTGAAAATATCACATAATTAGAATCCATATAAACTTCAAGACTCAAATATTGAAAAACTACAATTGACTTGGATTTTTTCAAGAATGAATGTATTTGAGAGAAAAACATTGTTAGTATATAATATAAATCTGTTTCAAAAGAATAAACTCACCAATTTCTTATGTTCCATTAAATATATGAGTATTTCTATTTCCCATATGCCAAGAGTTGAGAAAGAAAAAAAAATGACATATATTTTTGAAAGATATCAAATTTTCAAATCATTATAATTAAATATTATGGATTTTGTTTAAATTTTCAAATATCATACAATTTTCACCTTTAACTTTTCCAACCAATATTTTAATCTTTAATTCTATATCAAAACCTCTAAATTTATTAATCTATCTTTAAAATTCTATTTGGTTTATTAGTTTAGTTTAGTTTTTTTCTCATAATTTAAGATTACTTTATACAATCAGTTTTTAATAGGCTCATATTACAAGCACACTCCAAGTTGCTACATGCACATCCCAAATTGCCATACACACTCTCAAGACAGATAAAGATCTTTGATTGGCTTGTTATTGATGTGGAAAGCTTGACACCTTCAATGACTACAAGAGGGCCAATAAGAGTGGCAAGTGCTTGTATGAGTAAATAGGTCTAGACATCTTCAAACAACTCTTTTGGTGACTTGTAGAATTTTTTTAGCATAGTGGGAGAAGGTTCACTATGAAACAGAAAGAGATAGCAAAAACAAAAGAGAATAAGAGAGCAAAAAAGAAGAGAGAGAGGAGAAGGGAGTCAGGGCATAGAAAAAATAAGAAAGATGATGAGAATGATGAAAGTTGAATAATTGGTAATTAATTACATATTATACATAAAATAAAAAACATAAATTTGATACAATTTTATTTTGATTGGCGTTGACATAATAGTTGTAATAAAAACGACTCTAATACTATGGCAAAACTATACTCTTTTTGAAATTCTTCTCATATTTCATCAAAAATGTAAGTACATTTGACTGTATTTGAAATGATTGATTAAACATAATAGTTTTATACATGAACATGCTTTAAAAGTATGAATAACAAATATTTTATCAAAGTAGAACATAAGCTGCTGGTTTATAACAAATATTGGAGCATTGGATTTAATACAATATTTTGTAAGCATTACTAATTTGGGCAATAATTTATTCTACTATCATTTTTAAAACACGCATAATAAGTAATAAATATGTATTTATTTATTTTCAAGATAACCTTACAAAATAGGTTTTAAGTCCTATCGTGATAGGTATAAAATTTAATTGATTCAATAAAATATAATTATTATTCTACTAGATATTTTATAATATAATTGTTTTAAATTAACTTCAAAAAGATACATCTATTTAGAATTTATTTAAAACAACATAGTTCTGAAGGGCTCTATATTAATCATGATGTTATTTGAAAATATTATAATCAAATATATCATAGATAATATATATATATATATATATATATATACACACACACACACACATATATATATATATATATATATACACACACACACACATATATATATATATATATATATATGTTCTCCTTAAAAGTATTCTTTTACAATTATAGTTTTTATGAAAAACTCATATTTTTAATTTTTTAAAATTAATTAGCTAATTAATTAATATCAGATTCTTAGATTGATTCCAAAATTCTTAGATCCATTTGCTGTTCAACTAAGCATTGCGTGTTTTCAAATAAAATCGTTTTTACATAGTAACTATAATAAAAAGAAACAAATTATTAAAATGATGCAAACATTAATTTCTTTTAAGCTTTGAAAATTCTTAAATATATGTTTCTTGCTATATTATATAAGTAAAGAAGTAATGATTATTTTCCATAGTTGTAAAAAAATCTAAGATAAATATTGTAAATTAAGTTATATATATATATATCATAAAATCGATATTTTATATATTTTTTTAAAATATACAACCAGCAAGATTCAACTCATCTTCAAAGTAACATTTTTTTTTACCAAATAGATTAAAATAAAGTCTTTTAAAATAATTTTGCTTAAAAACATAAATTTATATATGTTATAATTAAATTTAGTTAAGAAAAAAAATTAAAAATAACTATCAAATTTTGTAAAATTTATTTTAATACTTTTTTAAAATGATATACCAAATATTACACCCAAAATAATAATAAAATTATAAATTTTAATTATTAAATTGATATCTAAAATAGAATACTAAAAAATTATAAAATCATAAAATTTTAATATTAACATTATGACTAAAAGATATCTAAATGTGCAGAATAAATTCAAGTCATTAAGTCTATAAAGTATTAAAATATTATGAATTAATTATTTTTTATAAAAAATAACTTCAAATTTTTTTTATAGTTTTCTAGAAGTTAGTAACACCTTTCCATTTAGAAAGCTTCTACAATCTTTTATAACTATTCGAAGACTTTTTGTAGTTTACAAAACAAAATCTACAATTCTTTCTTTTAACTTCTAAGATATTCTATAGGCCTCAAAACCGCCTTTAGAAATTTCTAATAAAAAAATTATTATCTTGTCCTTGGTTTTATATTAAGTTTTTTTTCTAATCTAAAATTTTATTTATTCTTATTTATTTATATTTTTGTGAGTCTTCAATAATTTCATAAGTTCTTTGATAATTTTAGTTCATAAGTTGTTGCATGTGGCAACTTATCCTATTAAAAAAAATTGAAACAATTTATATATATATATATATATTAAAAAACTAAAAATTTTAAAATTTACATAAAAGTTTAAATCCAACATAAAAATATTTTTCAATTTTAACCGATCAAAACAATTCAAAGTTGTGGCCTCTCATCTTATTTCCCAAGTGTAGAGTTTATTTAAGTTTCTTCACAACTTTATGACATTTATTTTTATTTGATAGTTTTTTAACAAAATAATTGAGTAAAAAATTGGCAAATATATCATAGATATTTTATAGTAGTAATTAAAGGTCACCAAAATAATTTTCAAACAACAAAAAATATATATATTAATTTTTTATATTAATTTTATTTAATAAGAAATATAATTTGGATTTTTTAAAGATAATAGGAGTATTTTTAAAATATTATTAATTATAAATATACATTTCTTTTTATGAATTCAAAAGTTTTATTTTTATTTTTATTTTATATTAATTTAATTTTATTATTATATGAGTTGCTTTTGTATAATAATAATAATTTATTTGTTACAAAAATTTTATTAGAAAAAATTAGGCATAACAAGAGATTTAATTAATTTATAAATAATAATAATATATTTACATACGAAAAAAATAATTTTTGTTTATTGGTAAATAAATATTGCATTGGAAGCATTTTTATCATTATTTGCAAATCAACTAATAATCCCAATAAATTATACATTCAATACACATGCTTTTGCTTTTTTAGATATATCTAATAATATTAAAATACCAATAATCATAATAATAATATTAATTGGACTTAATTTTAATTATATATTGGTATTAATAGAATTGAATTAACTTTATTAGTATATATTTTTAAAATAAAATTATTTTAATTTTTTAAAATACATATTATAACTTGAATTAGACCTAAATATAATGAATAATAATAAATATTTTATAATAGTACATGGTTTTAGAAATATAAAGCTAAAAACAATCATAGAAGTAAGAGTTGGTTAGGAATTAAATATCAAATCTTTGTAACTTCATAAATTCTTTCAAATAAAACCATATCAACAATAGTATAAAAAATAAAATTTACACATTAATATATATTATTTGACTAGTTTTTTATTTAAATATATGAAAATTTCTAAATATAGTAATTAAATTTCTTACTAATTTTTAAAATAATTTTATACTCTATTACAAGCATTATTTTTGAAGTATATTTAATACATTTCTATTATTTATTGATTTAGAAATAATGAGTAAAAGTTATAATAAAAAATAAAATATCTAAAAAAATTAAATCCTAAACTTGTTACAAATAATTCAAAAAAAAATGATGCTTATAAATAAACCATGATGTAATTAGATGCAAAAACTATACCAAATTGCATAAGAATATGACGTTTTATTCTACAAAAAATT